CCAGCCGCGACTATTATTTTATTTATTTTGGGTCGTGCACAAGCCTCAGTGCCTGCAGCCCGCGCCTTCTCGGCCCGCGGGCGCCTCCTCTTTCGGCTCCGGAGCCTCAGACCCCGGCCGCCCTCGTCTCGACACCCCCAGACCCCCGCCAGCTGTCGCGAGTCCCCGCTGCTGGAATCTTGTTAGCGGCTGTCTTTTGGGGGGTTCTGGTTTCCCGACATTTTTGCTTCCAGCCAAGGAGAGGATATCGTGATTTTTCCCCCTTTGAGCCCAGGCTCTGCTCTCTGGGGGGGTGGGGGGCGCGCCGAGCCGGGGAGCCGTGCCAGCCGAGTCGTGCGGGCTGTGGCAGGGAAGGGGCCACCATGGGATGTACTCTGAGCGCAGAGGAGCGAGCCGCCCTCGAGCGGAGCAAGGCGATTGAGAAAAACCTCAAAGAGGATGGCATCAGCGCCGCCAAAGACGTGAAATTACTCCTGCTGGGTAAGAACCGTGGATGCCAACCCCATCCCACGACCCTGACCACTCTGCACCTCCGGGCGCCAGCTTCCCCACCTGCGCCTGGGAGACCTGGTCCCGGTAGTTGCCACCACCATGTGCCCAGGATCGCCCACCCCTTTGCATGCCTTAACCCTGCACCCCCCCCCGCCCTCTTCCCCTGAACTGACACCAGTTTTCCCCCTATCTGTGTCCCAACAGGGGCTGGAGAATCAGGAAAAAGCACCATTGTGAAGCAGATGAAGTAAGTCCCTATGGCATTGGGATTTGTACTTTTATTACGAATAATCTTAAAAATCATTTTTATTATCTTGCTTACTCCACAGTACTCTCCAGGCCTGCTTTTTAATTCGTGCACACATACACGCACAGATCTGGACTTGACTCCCCTCCCCCACGCCCTATGTTGGTTTTGAGTTCTCCACCCCAACTCTCAGGGTGGGTGTTTTTTTATAAGGAGGGTAAGGGGAGTGCCTGTAGTTGTATGAATGACAGTGTCCGCCATATTGATCAGAACATCACACTATTGGCATGATTATGATCATTACCCTTTTGCTTGTGGACTATTTCGTGTATCTCACTGCCTCCATTTCTCTCTCTGTATCCCTTTTTCATTCTGTCTCTATTTCTTTCTGCTCCTTCCTCAGTGCCCCCCCCTCTCCGCCCCCAGCATCCATAATCTCACTTCTCCCTGTTCTCCCCGGGGCAGTGATTTTGAACTTGGCTGAACCAAGGAGGGGACAGGGATCAAGTGTCTGCTGTTCATGGATTTAGTGCTGAATTGGAGTCTGTAGTTTCTACTCTCTGCTCCCCCCCCCCCATAAGGGTGAGGGTTAGGGGAGGAGGTATATGTTAGGGGAATGAGGTGAGTTTCCAAGCGGTTGTGACTGGTACAGCTGTGTCCAAGGCAGAGGTAGAAGGGGGCTGCTGGCTGTGAGACTGAATGCTGGCCCCTGGCTGCCCCCCCGACCTTCTCCATCCCCACCCTCCCAGCGTTTGCTCTTCTGATGGCAGTTTTCATTCACTCTGTGGGCTTTATCAATGTATTTGCGATCTGCATAGGCCGAGTTCCATATAATCTACCCACAATGCGGATTTCAGGCCCACTTGCTGCCACCCCCTTCTGCCTTAGATATCACTTTCCCCTTCTAATTAACTGGGGGTGGATTTGAGTGATGGTTGAAAATTGAAACAAAATGGGATATTCCTTCCCTTCCACACTTTCTCAGTAAGGAGCCTCGCCCTTCCTTCCCACTCTCAGGCTCGCTTCTTGCCCCATCCACTCGGCAGTTCCTGGTGAGCCCACAGGAAGCTTTTCTTGGGGAGGGGGTGGCAGGCAGGGAAAGGGTGCACGCCCTGGGGGGCTCCTGGCTCTGCCGCTTCCGTTGGCCTGTCGGTTTCAGGACGAAGGAGTTCGTTAAGACCGTTTAGCGAATATTCCACGTCGTTTTGCTGTGACACCTTCGTGCACACACAGCTCCTAATTAGGAGTTGCTGTGCAGTAAACAAAAATGATTATTTTTCAACTTGACAGAATAGCTGAAGTAATTGCATCCCGTAGGAAAACAATGGAAAATAAAAACCCCTTTCGTGGGAAGGTGGGTGGGAAACGAAGCATGCTTGCGGTTTCAGAACCAAGCTGCGAAAAATCTTGCATGTGTAACAGGCATGACAAGCGGGTTCTAGGCGGCGCCATGATGGTAGGGAGTAGCGACTCAGAGACAATTTCCCCATCTGCTTGACATGTTCTTATTTTTGTTTGAGAGCTCCCTGGGGCTTTCTTTGCAGAGGCCCCCTCGGCTCACCGCACCCCTCTGAGCCACCAGTAATTTCGCTTGGGGCTTCTCTGGAGCTTGTGCAACCCAAAGGGATGGGGAGGCGGGGCCTGGGGAATTGCTCTTTGCAAAAGGTTCATGTTGCATCTGACTGGAGCCCTTGCTGGTCGGTAAATGCAGGCCGTGCTACCCCTTTCTCCTGAGGAGGGATGTTTTAAAACTTCGTAAGTCTGTAATTTGAAGTGTCGGACTCTGAGCCGGGTAGAAGCCCCAGCCACCAGAGCTGGGTGAGGTTTCAGGCGTTGCAAGTGGTGGACAGCGCCCAGCCGAGCCCGGAAAAGTCGATGGGGCTGTGTTCGGTGGCGCTCGGCGAGGCTCGGCACGGCCTGGGCGCGGGGCTCGGAGAGATTCGGCAGTGTTCGGAGTGGAGTCGCGGTCCTGGCGGCGAGAGCCGATCCTCTTCGGAGGGAGCGAAGGCATTCGGAAACGCTGGGTAGGAGGAGGGGAACGCGCAGGAGGGGAAGCGGGGCAGGCTAGAATCTGCAAATTAACTTTGCATCCGCCAAAGCAACTGCTCTTCCTAAATATTCCCTGTAAATTAGGTTGATTTAATAAGAAGCTTAAAAATATATACTGAATCCCCCGAAGGGTACCTCACCTTTTTTATTCAAAGAGAGCTTAGCTCTCTGAGGAAATAGGTGTGCCACTTTAGAATGAAAATTCCTAATTATGTGCTGGGGCAGGAAATCTTAAATTAAGGCTATAGGTAGATTTTTCTGGGAAAGTCCTATGTGTCTTGTATTTGGTTACCCCATATGAAATGTTTGATGTTTGAGATGGTTAATTCAGAAATCAGAGCAAACTGCACCCCCCCCTTCCCATTTCCTCACCCTAATAGAATACCTTTTGGGAGAAAAATGTCAGGCAAAATTGAGATTTTGTAGGTAAAACAGTATCCTTTTTAAAAAGCACAATACACCAACTCTTTATGAAGTAGGCTAGGTTTGCTCAGGCCAGTCAAAAAGATTTCTGGCCCATGTAAATTTTGCTACAACAGACCCTGGAATCCAATTCTCCTGAAGTGTTCACGAATGGCAACTTCTGTGAGCCCTCTAGCTTGGCTTGAAATAAATCAGATCAGGGCCTTGTGCCAGGTTGGATGTAGAACTTGTTTTATTAACCACAAAATGTGGGATTGGTGTTACTGTATCCTAGTGACAATTGTTTTTTTTAAAGTCCTCCCTTGCAGAAATGGTTTTCAAGATCATCACTTAATTGACAGTCACTTTGAGTCAGGAAAATTGTACCTTGGGTGGGGCCAGGCCTGAAAATCTAGGTAGCATTTACAGAAAGCAGTTTCCCTGTGCAATACAATTAGTGACCAACCTATCAAGCCCTGTGTATGAGTTAATTAGGATACTATGTTATTTCCCCTGGGCAGATGAAACTAGACAGAGAGTCTTCTGTAGGAGACGCCCTATGGTAACCCAGTGATTTCCTAATGGGCTATGGGGCTTAATAGCTTAGCCCAATGGATTAAGAGGAAGAATATTGGTATTCAGTCACCACCCGACTCCATTCAGCATTTTGGAACAGCACAGAGACTTTCCATTCAGCCTGTATTCTCATCCATGTTGTGGTGTGATGACTGGGAAGAGAAATAGGCTTCCATATGTATATATGCCTATAGTAACTGAAGTTAATGATAAAGGACTAGCATCTGCCACTTGAAACAAAGTGTTAGCACCCTCCTCACCTCATCACCCTAGTACCATTGTAGAGAGACTGACTTGAAATGCTTCTGCTTAATGCATGTTGCATCTGTTTAAGAAATGACATAAATTAGATTGTCATTGTAAAAGCCTGATTCTCAATATTTTTATTAAAAATTTCATTTGAGTATGGCTTTCGGGGTTTGTGTGTATGTATGTGATTGTGAATTAGTGGTTGGGAGCTCTGGGTTGGAAAATCCAAAACATTTTAATAGTGAGAAATAAACAGTGATAATTGAGACAGCACAAATATAATTTTATGCATAGTTTGAATAATCAATGACTCTTTTTTTCTGCATTGCATTTTAAGTAATTCTGGTTGGTTGAGAGTTGTGACCTCAACTTTAATACAGCACCATCATTTTTTAGTTCATCAGTAGGACTCCTAGTTCAGATTAATCAAAAATTTTAAAGGAAGTGTTAATTATATTTAATTACTAAACCTTTATCAAAAACATCTCTTAAAGAGTTATAATTTTGTGAGGTATAGAATCAACAAAATATCACATATGAATTCTCAGTTCTGAACAAATGGTAACATCTGCTCATACTGTGTACCTGGAGAAAATGTAAAATGAACTCTAGGGACCAAAATTTGCCTTTTTTTGAGGTGGTAAGTTTTCTGTGATGTCAGGTTCATGCTATCTATCTTGAAGCATCATGTGGAATTTTTTAGGAAGATAGTTTGAAGGTGGTAATGAAGCATTGTTTGTTGGCTGGTAGTCTTTACCTAATGGGCACAGTAAAATGGAGCAAGTTAGTACTCATTTTCATGGTATCTCTTCAGTGCAATTTTTTTTTTATTCAAAGATTTGCCTGATGAAGACATCATTGCTCATGTAAATATTCCAGCCCTTACACTGCTCATGTAAATATTCTAAAGGCAGACCCCACCCTGGCAGTGAGGGCAGTCTTAATAGGTCACCTGCTACCGTAAAGCTAGTAATTTGCTGTTCCCAGCTAACACTGACTTTGTAATTTGGGTATCCACTGTTTGGTTGGGGATCAGGGCAAGCTCATGTTCTTTCAGCACACTGGTGTTGGGCACAGCATCTACTAAGTCGCAGGAGTTAATGGAACTGAATAGCTATTTGCTGCTGTTACTCCACTCCATGAAGTGCAGCCATCTAAAAGCGTGTTTCCCACATGTGCCCACAGGGGCCCCTGTTGGGACAGCGCTCCATCAAGAACTGCTCTTCTAGATTTGTGGATTTATTTTTTCTGGGATCATCTCGTTGGGTGATTTGTCCCCTCCCTTCCTCCTTTCTCTATGTTTATTCAAATGGATGCACCTTACTCTCTGGAGACAGTGAGAGCGTGAACAGAATGTCAGATCAAGTAGCAAATGAGTTCTCTTTTGCTGATGGATGGTGCATTCTCCCTCCTTACTGTTCACTGAGCTGTAAATACCAGCGGACCTTCCTGCCAGAAGAGAAGCAAACAGTCCACCTGATCTCCTCAGGAATCAGCTGTGGAATTCTTGAATCTCAGTTACCCATTGGATTCTGAAATGGAATCTGCGTGGTTGTTGCCAATTAGAGTAAATGGATGAAGCTTCATGCAGATTGATAATGGCTGGAAAGGAATGCAGTTTCTGTGTATAGTTCTGGATTAGACTTCCAATGCCCAGAGTCAGAGCACTGTGTCATTTCTGTTAGCATGTGGAACTCTTAAATTATACTGTTCTTACCATGCCA